CCCCCTTTTCCCCTTGTTTTCTCAACAGGGCAAAGAGGGGAAAATAAGATAAGCCAACCCTTGTGGGTAAAACAAAAGCAGTTTTAATATAAGCAAAACGAAGCAAAGGCCTGTGGGCAGAAGCAAAAGAAAACAGATTTATTCTCCAGTTCCCATGGAGAGGCGATGTCGGGCCTTCTCAGGATCAGGGCTCCCATAGGCGTAGTGGTTCCTCGGAGGACCAAGGGTGACCCCACCCCCTTCCTCCTTTCTCCCAGCTTTATCCTGAGCAGACGTCATATGGTCTGGAATATCCCTTTGGTCAGTTCGGGTCAGCTGTCCTGGCTGTGTCCCCTCCCAAGACCTTGCCCACCCCATGCCACTGCAGGGGGGCAATGTCGGAAAGATCCTTGGTGCTGTGTAAGCACTGCCCAGCAGCAGCCACAACACCAGGGTGCTACCAACACCCTGCCAGCTCCCAGCATAAACCACAGCACCGTGAAGGTGGCTATAGGGGAAAACCAATTCCAGCTCAGACAGACCCAGTACACTTGCATATATTATTTAAGACTTTTTTGCCTTTCTCACCTCATGGAGTGTGCTTATTACTGCCTCTAGTTTAATTTATGTTGGATTTTAAGGTTTGGTAGTGATTGCTTCCTTGAGGAAGATCAGAATACATCCTCATTTATCCTGATGGAAAATAAAGAGATTGACATTATTCAATATGGTTTTGGGACTCTCAAGATTTTGTTTTTTCACTCGCATAGACCAATCAAACTTTTAATGACTTGCCAATTAACATTTCTGCAGAATAGAAATAATCTATTCATACAGTGGCTTTGCTAGCTAAAGAGATTTTATGAACTGGTGTTTTCCCAGCTGCAGAACACAAAAGTGTTCACAGATGCTAACCAAATTGTCTAAGCTGACGATATTTTATTGCCTAATTAATGTTTTTAAGAGCACTTTCCTGATATATTTTTCCTCTTTATATTTTATGACTGCTTACATTTGATTTCTTTGTACTTGGTGAATAGGAATTAACAAGTGAAGGAGAAGATTTCAAAACCTGAAAATAGTCATCATCATAAATTAAGAAGGATTGTTCTCAGAGATTGCTACCTGAAATGGCATGTAAAAGTACTCTTTCCACAGCAGTGTTTCAAAGTCATCTTTGTCTTGTCATTCACTATAGGATATAAGAGAAAGACCTATGTCTTCTAAAACTTTTTTGTATTTGGTTTTCTTTGGTGACTGTCAGCCCTTCCAAGGTTTCTGTTACTAGGATCAGCAAACTGGTAAGTGGTCAGTGTTATGGATTAATCATAATTTAAAGTGAAATCACCACCTCCAAATTGGTTTTAGTGGTCAATAAAATGTATTAGCAAGCGAAAGTGAGCAAAACAGCGCTGGGTGTGCCGGGGAGTCTCTGCTCCACCAAGACACACACCTTACATCCCGAAACAGAGTCCTTTTAACGTGCAGCCTTCATGGATATTCATGAGGGTGGGGGTGCTCCCTGAGTTTGCAAGTCGTCAACAACTTTTCGCGGGCTTTTCTTTCGCGAGCTTTTTGCTGCCAGGGAAGGTTCGCCGGCTTTCCACCGTGGGGCAGGAGGGGGATGGCTCAGCACAGGTGTGCATGTATCCACAGTCCAGACAGGTCTAGACATAACAGCATTTGGCCTGAAGACGGCGGCCATTTTAACGCCCTTTTAACAACTGATTTTAACCATTAAAAAAACTATATACATAATGCCTTATCTCTTTTTAAACCTTAGGTTACATGCAAAGTGCAAAAACATTTAGAACCATAACACTCTCTGACCACAACAAAGTTCAGTTACAATACAATCTGATATTAACACAATTTATTTTTATATTTATTTTACTGAATAATATATTTAACCATAACTTGAGATTTGAATAACAAATATCATATAGGTTTTATTACAGTCAGGGCACGTGTTTTCAGCATTTTAACAAGGTGGCTTCAGTCATAGTGTAATTCAGATACTGTGCGGTAGTTCACCAATTTCTGAATGGCCAATATGTGTTATTGTTTGCCACACACTTTGCCTGTGAATTACTCAGAAGTCTGAGGACTTTACAAAGATGCCCTAGAAACCATGTGCAGAGACATTTCAGGTATTGGAGCAGAGCTAGACCTGGCTAGTTCTGTTTCTAAGCATCAGGCATCAAATTGTGATGCTGGTGTGAAGGTAAGTCCTGGCTTTCGGCTGGGCCAGGATGTTACTTCATTCCCTCTATGCAGCAGGACTCATCTAAGCCAGGATATGCCTGTGGCAGGTTGACCTTGACTGGCCACCAGATGCCCACTAAGCTCCTGGATCACTCTCCCTCCTCAGCAGGACAGAGAAGAAAATATGATAAAAAACTCATGGGTTGAGACAAAGGCAGTTTAATGATAAAAATGAAGTCCACACTGGGAAGGAAAGGTAAGCAAAAAGATTTGTTCTCTACTTGCCATCAGCAGGTGATATCCAGCCTGGGAAGTATGGCCCCAATATATGTAGCAGTTGCTTCAGAAGACAAACATCTTAATAATTAATATTGCCCCCCTCACTTTCTCTAAGCTTTTGTTGTTGAGCATGACATCTTGTGGTATGAAATAGCCCTTTGGTCAGTTTGAGTGAGGTGCCCCAGCTGTGTACCCTCCCAACTTCTTGCCCACCCACAGCCAACTGGCCACTGCAGGAGGTGTTGGAGAGACAGCCCTGATGCTGTTTGAGCCCTGAACAGCAGTAGCCCAAACGCTGGTGTGTTACCAACACTGTTCTAGCTACAAACATGAAGCACAGCTCTAGGTGGACTGCAGTGATGAATGTTAACTCCATCCTAGCCAGACCAAATACAGTGCCACAGCTCTTGGATGGCTGCTCTGCCTTTATGTAAACAGGTGGTCTAGATCCTGAAGAAGCAAGCTAGATAATTATAGCCTTACCTCTCCCTCACTAAGCTTTTTCTCAGCTTATTTTGGTGCTTGAAGTTATCAAATCCCGATGTGTGTTTTGCTTCATGAAAGCTTTCAAGATTTTACACAAAAATAAAGCATGGGAATACACCTAGAAAAAATAAAGCTCTTAAAATTTAAAGGAATTGGGTATACATAGAACAAAACCACCAACTTGTTAATATGGAAGATTCAATGCCAGCAGTCAAAGAACTCATCACAGACACTTAATCTTTATGGAAGAGTCCTCATCTATGACAGTATTGGTTGAGCAGTATCTCCCATTTTCATGAAATCCTTAAAGCCAAATCAATATAAAAACCTGCATAGTAGCATTGTATTCCCATCCATTACATCCTTGAGGAAACTACCTATCTTACCATGACGCATAAGCCCCCAATCACTGGATGCAGATCCTCAGAATAAAGACTTTCCTAAGCAGATATTTATTGTCAGGTTTTTATTTTAATTGGTGCCTTATCTCTGGGTCCTCAACAAGAATACGCTAGGGCACTTGTAAAGTATCAAGCAGAGAAGACATCCAGTGTTAGAAAAGCAAACAGAAAGTAGTCTAAAAAAGAAAGAGTATATTAATGATCAGAAGAAATCAAAGCGTTTAACCCTATGGGTGCAACTATCCACTTGTGAAGACATTCATAAAATTCCTAGCTATCCTGGATTGTGAAAGCATACAGTTGCTGCTAACAACATGGGCTTTCCTTGTATTTTTATTTCTGAAAACAATGTTTCCACTCTATCTAGTCTCAAACTCACAGGTTAGAAATAAACCAACTCAGGTCATCAGCTAGATTATAAGGAAAAAATGGAAAGCAGGTGCAAAAAAAGCTATTACAGGTACATGGATGATATGTGCTTATTCCGGGGTGCTGTAATAATCCACCCTGAGGGGAATAAGCAGAGTAGGGAGGGCACCAGATCGGTACACCAGCAGTAAGTGCAGTAGTGCAGATGCAAGCAGGGATGATACTGCACTGTGAAGGCAGGCTGCTTTCATCTCTTTAGTTTTTGTCCACCAGGTGTCATCTGAGAAGCACCTGATAGCTACTAAAGGCATAGCTTTTGCATTTTTTCTTTCTAGATACCAACAGAAATCTTTTACTGTCTATAGGTAACATAACCTGCATTCAGCCCTTTGGCTGTCTCTGTCCATCTTTACAAGATGATCTGATCTGACCCCATACTGGTACCATCAGCTTTGCTTCATTTGATGAGGACAGAGAGCGGTCATCACTTCTTCCTGTGACACCTGTCCTGGGGTGCTAGCAGATATATCAATCTGGACACACAAAGGTTTGTTGCTCTGCAACCACAGCCCAGTTCAGTGTCCCTCAGTACCTTCTGCCAGTGCCTACCTTTCTCCAGATGCCAAGGATCTCCAGACTAGACAGTGGCAGTATAGAAGATCCCTCTTCTGTTCCCCAGATGAGCGTGTATTCCATTTACCCTAACTCATTTTTGCATATAGCTGTGCTTTAGGTAGAAAGGACTTTGCATGGTGGCATGATGGCAAGAAATGGTAGCTTGTCTTTCTGTAGGTGATCTATAGGTGATATATATTTGATCTACTGGTGATAGGAATAAAGAAGAGCTCTATTCATAATGTCCACAGAAATGCCTGCTCATCTAAACTACCATTTCCTTTACTTTCTGTAAAACATATCCTACATCTTTCAAGAAAATAAACATTCATCTGAGCCCTGACTGAAGTCTAGATTTCACACTAAAAGTGAAATGGAAGACCAAAAGGGAAATGAAAAAACTTGGAACAAATCCACATGATAAATCCAAGGGTCCCAAATGAAGGAGCACATCATTTTAGTGGTTTTCACTCTCTTGTGATTTATAACTGTGTAAATGACTACTGAATCTGATCTCTTAATAATTAATCATATTCCTTCCTTTTTTCCTCCAATTCTTTCCTTCTATTTTAATATTCTCTAGAATTTCCTTGTGTATTTTCACATCTCCCAGTCTTGGCTCTTCTGTAGTTCTCTCCTGGTTCATCAACCTTTCCTGTTACAAAAGGAAAATGTTTCCTGCAACTGTACTTGAAACAAAAAGAGATAGCAGGCATGCCAATAAAACACAAACGTTTCCTAATGTGATACTTAAGCCTCAGATGTTTTCTTAAAATCATTCTAAATGTGATGAAGGTGATAGTAATAAGTTCAAGTCCCAGTCTTCCAAAATACCTTCCTTCTTAGATCTGGCAAGTAGAGGACAGAAATGTGCTCTGGCAAAATTACAGAAAGTTTTAGGCTTGGCCAGATTTCAAAAACAGCAAGAAGTTGGAGGCTATCCCTGGTACATATTTGTATATTCAATCAACAACCTTAGCAGCTGCTTGTGCTCAAAACTGGCACACTGCATAGGTCACACTACTGACAGCAGCAGTCATGACAGGGCTTCAAGACCTTACTCAGCAGCTGTCTCTGCCACTTCTTTTTCATTATGAGGTTTTAATTTATCAGCTCCTATGCTACTGTTCTGTAACTGATTATTAATGTAATCAAGTGTGATGAACTTTCTTAAGGCCTTTCATTGGTCTTTTCTATGGCTTCTGCAAAAAACTGGCTGCCTACTTTGGACTCTCAGGAGCTTTTCTTCCTCCTGTCACATAAAGGCCAAGAGTCTACTAACTACAAAAACCTCAAATAAGTCAGAGGCAGATAAATGAGAATGCATTACCAAGGTTCTCTGTGAAGTGTGCTTCACAGAAAAGAGAGAGGTTCCTAGTTGCATGAGGAAAATGGCTGGCTGGCAAAACTGACCTATACTAGGAGCAAGTGTGAGGACATTTGTGCATGAAAGCAAACCTCCCATACACAAATAAAGAGAATCACTTGGTCTGTCACAAGTGTATGGGCTGCCATTGCTACAACTGGAAGTGTTTAAGAGTTTTGGCACTGTTTTCGTAATGGGCACATTAAAACGCTAAATTTTTATGATTACTTTTATTTTTCTCGGTTCTAGTCCCTACAGCTTCTATGGTAGCTGTGACAAGAGATTAAATCAATAATCAGTATTACATTTTTAATCATAATTTAAAAGCTACATTTTAGAATGTTGTACTTTACATTTTTTATTTGTAGTTACTGTAAATCCTTATGCTTAAGCAGCTAACTGAGCAGGTCTTGGGACTGTAACTGCACAACAAGTACAGACACACACTGCACAGTCACAGTCACAATTTTTGCCTCCACTATTCTGGATATATGGCTAAAAGGTGTAAGACATGCTCATTTGCTAGTTAACATGGAAGCTAGTCTTTGTAGTTTCAAAAGAGAGAATGTAAACAAAAAGTCCATTTACAGAAAGAAAAAAAAAATTGTCCAAATTCAGATTCAAGAATAAACTTGAAATGGTGACAAAAATTACTATTTTTATGTCCACCATAAAGCTACCCAGTTTCACGGATTATTCCAGATTTCAACAGCATAAACATTGTGGGTTTCACAGATCTACTCTTGAAATGAAAACAAGCGGTTGGCTAGCAGGTTTTATTCACATTCACTGAGTATTCTTTGACCAACACCCATTTATCAAAGAGAAACACCTTTCAGACCATATTAAACATTGCCTCTAATTTCACAGCTGGCCTCAGAACAGTTTACTGTAAAACATGATAGTATCTATGCAAGAATATACCTGTCTGTGCCAATATTAGGTCAAATAAATGTTTCGGCAAAAGATGCAGTAAATTTCTGT